TTAATTCCTTCTTGATATGCTTGTACATCATCAATCAATTGTGCACTTCAAATAATTCTGGTTGGTATATCTGAATGATTAATGTATTTTAGTTCTCTTTTAAGAGTTTTGACTGGAGTTCAGATTTCTTCAAGTATTGTATTTATGCTTTCATCAAACTGTATTCGAGGTCTGCGTGGTTGAACTATTGTTCAATCATCGTGGTTAAGCATTAGAAAGTTTCAATTTTCTAGATGTTGTTCTTCAAATTTCTCTTCATTAGTTAAGGATTATTATTTGATTTATCAAATGATTCATCAGGACTGTTATATCCTTGTCCATAGATAAATTTAATTTTGGTATTTTCTTTTTGGTTATTCCAATCAAAGAACATGATTCTATTATGTAAGTCTAGTTTGGTCTTAATTTTATTTAACCAATCTATTTCAACTACTACATTATAAGTGCGAGCTTCAGTAATATCAATATCAGCAGGAATTATAATTCCAGCAATAGTAATTGGGAAGTTATTAATCGCACCAAGAGATTGTTTAGATTCACCATTTATGTCTGATATAGTGATATTAGATTTTCGTTGAATTTTGATATCATGTTTTTTTAGAAAATCATTACTAGCAACACAACCAGAGGCACCTGTATCAATAATTAAGCCAATGAGTACAGTTTTAATCTTAGCTTCACACCAGGCAGAGATAGTTATAATCTTCTGTTTAACCATTCCAGTAACTTTTCTGGTGATTTTTCATTTTGATCTAGAAGATTATTTTATGGCTTTAGATATTTTAAATGTTGTTCTAAAGAGGTTCAAATTAGTTATTTGATTATAATATTGGCTTTACTAGTTGTCAAGTCATCAAGAATATCATATAGAACAGACTTGGTAGCAAGAACAGGTAATACAACTTTGCCTTTCTTTCTTTTTTGATCTTTTGTTGATATAATGATTCATGCAATGGGTATAGGTTGTTCAGCCTGAATTTCCAGTGGCAAAATATTTGATATTACTGGATTACTTGGTTCAGTCATAACTGTATTTTCTTCTTCAACTATGTCTGATTCATCTAGTTTAGTTCTCTTTCGATCACCAGTTAGATAATTATAAGTGGCAAGCAGTGTCAAATTTGTAGGATTTGAAGTTTCAGTTTGTTGAGAAAAATTAAGTGTTTGGAGAGCAGCTAATAATGGTTGAATTTGGGACAGGAGATTGATTTAATTATTATTATTATTATTTGTTGACACTGATCGATTAAAAGTAATATTTGTTCTGATGAAATTATTATTATTATTAGATCAATTATTTTGATTGCTCCAAGATTGTTAATTTCTATTAAAATTCTAACGATAAGTGCTCTGATTATATGATTTATCACAATTTCTGATAGATATCCAATTTTATTGCAATTATAACAAGTTGAAGCAGAATAATTATTATTATGATGATAGTTTTGTTCATTATTTCTGGATGAATAAGTGAATCTTCTAGATGTTTCAAGAGTTTCTAATCTACTGATCAGATTCTGGAGTACTGTTATAAGTTGGTTGAGGTTAGCAGTTAGTTTGGTTTGTGTTTGATAATAGGTTGAAGCAGGTTCTTCAGAATTTGCTTCTTCCACAGTTTTAGTCAAGTGATAATATTTGGCAGAGTTTTATCAGAATTTATTTTTACTCATTTATGAATTTCAATTTTTAGATCTCTTTTATAAGTTCAGATTTTGTAATTTTCTGGATAGACATTGATTAGATCAACTTTCTTTAAAAGAATATTAAACCAATTTGTATATTCATCAATACTTTCAGTCTGTTAAAGGATTTCGAGTTCATTTTGCCATTGTTTAACCTTATGAAAAGTACAAAATTTCAGAACAAAACAATATTTAAAGTCATATTCTTCATTTCTATGATTCATCCAATCAATTAGGATAAGAACATTATTAGTAGCTTTTTGATCAAACCAAGCAGCAGTTGCATCTTCTAAGTATTCATGAACAATTTGAATTTTTCATGCATCAGTAACTCCATTGGATATGTCAGCAAATTCAAAATCTCTGAGTTATTCAACAGAATCTTAATCATCATCTTTGAATTTTCGAATTAGAATATAATTCTTCTCAGCTCTTAGTCCAACAGTGAGAGTAGCAGTAAGAATATTCAGTTCCTGCAAAATATCATTTAGTTCAGCAGATATTTCTTCATTGTCTGATTCTTCAGTTGCTTCTTTTGGTTCAGTGTTTAATTCTCCTTCTGATAATTGTTCTTGATCAGAAATATCCAGTTCTTCTTCAGTATCAGTTTGTATAATTAGTTGTTTTTGGAAGTTGAAGTCTTGTTATTCTTTTGTTTGTTCTTTTTCTACTTCTTTGATAATTATTTGTTGGTCTTTTACTATTTCGATATTACTGACAGTTTCAGAATAATTATCATTAGATATGTTGCAATCTTCTTCAAATTCCAGGTTATAAAAGCCTTCAAGTGTTCTTTTAACTAATAATAGTTGGTGATTAACTGTGTGTTTGTTTTGATAGATTAGAGTATTTAATAGTTAAATTACTCATTTTCGCAATTCTCCAGTTCCAATAATAATAAGATTTGCTTCGTAGATATTTTCAAATAGTTATTCAATAATAAAGAATCCAGATATTGCATCTCATTCTTGGATCCAAGTAAGAAAGTTAGCTAGAGGTTCAGTTATTTTTTAAAAAGATAGAAAGCAGATATGATAGTAGTATTATTGATTTATTTGAGGTGTTGTATCTTGATATTGAACTTCAAGATGATTATTAAGATGTAAGCTAATAGATTTTCTAATAAAGTTATAATAATTATTCATAAAGAGAATTTAAATATAAAAGGGAATTTTTGGAATTATTTTTTCACAGAGGGGGTATCAAAATGTTACACATTTTTCATTAATTGAATAATTAGCTAATAAATACGAACAAGAGTTGGGAGAGATAATTAAACAAAATATAAGGAGGATATGAAAATAATATCTAAGTTCTATGTTAATTTCTACTGAAATTATTATAGTTTGAAAGAGAAAAAGGATAAGATAATAGTATTTTAATTAAGTATAGTATTCTGAATAATCATACTAATTAATTAATTTATGAATTATTTAATTGAAGTAACTAATAATTTAACTAATTAATTAAAATATCAAAAATAACAAAAGTAATGAAGACTCTTTCACTTCATTCTTCTCACAAGAAAGAGATTACAATATATTTAGTTGAGAAATTTCAAATAATTTGATTATAACAAAAATATCAAAAGACTAGTTTATAACAAAATATTAATTCAATATCAATATTTTGATTAGCTCAATATAGTTTCAAAGCTACTTGTTTGCAAGATTTGAAGTGTATAATTGAGAGAGAAAGGTGAATTATTTAAGTATTAAAAGATATTTGTTTATTATATTATTTATTCTCAAGTTTTGACATATTGAGTTAGAGCTCAACTATAACTTATATTTATACATTTTTTACAAAATACAAATATAATATTAAAAATAAGAAAATGATATAAAAAATAATTATACTAACTAAAAATAGAATTTCAATTTACTAAATATAAAAGTAGAAAAAAAATATAAATCTCAAGAAATTTTAATTGATTAAATTATATTTACTCAGAATAAATAAATATAAAAATATAAAAAGTATAAATATATAAAAGTATGAAAATATAAAAAGTATAAGAGTACAAAATAGAAAAAGTATAAAAAGTATAAAAAGTATAAATATATAAAAGTATAAAAAATGTATAAAAAGTATAAAAAGTATAAAAAAGTATAAATATATAAAAATATAAAATGTATAAAATGTATAAATATATAAAAGTATAAAAAATATAAGAGTACAAAATAGAAAAAGTATAAAAAGTATAAAAAATATAAAAAGTATAAAAGTACAAAATAGAAAATAAAAGTATACGAATATAATAATTAATAATATATAATAAAATTCTAAGTTTTTTACATGATTTTCATAATTTTATAAGATATTATAAATTATAGAATTAATAATATAATTATAACAGTACATACTTTTACTATTTGTTTTCATAAATGATATTTAAATTATATTTAATTTATTAATCTTATAATAAAATTAATTTATCACTATTCAAAGTATAGATTATGATTAATATAAAAATATCTTTTCTCAACAAAGTATAATTAATATATTTAATATGATCTGATGATGAAAATTAATTATGCTTATTAAATAGATATATAATAATTTATATATAATCTAATAATAGAAATTGACCACAATTATCAAACTCACAATAAGATTAACTCACTTAACAGATTATAAATAATACAAAATTATAAAAATGAAACAGACTATGAACAAAATAATAACTTATATATAGTAACTTTATAATTCTTGATCTTGCTTAAGATTTATAAAAAGTAACTTGAAATACAAGATTTAAAGTTTAATTGTCAAATTATTTTGCCAAATAACTTATTATCAGTAAATTTGATAAATATCAAATTGGTAACAATCAATAAATATGCTGATTTTTTTGATTACACTAATTCAAAATTTGTGCAGAACTCTGAAAATACAAATTTTGGAGTGATATAATTCAAAGAAACTGTATTAATCAGCATATTTACTGATTGTTATAGTTCTTTGGATTAGTATACATAAATTAAATAGATTAATTATGAATAATAATATCTATATCATATTTATCTTTCTTCCTTTGAAGTTTGCAAAAATATAAATTTGAGTTTAAAATTCTTTGTCCATTTATTTCTTAAAGTTTTTCAAAACATATATATATTCAACAAAAAATAATTTTCTTTATCAAATCTTGGCACAATATGTGCCTCTTAATCTATAGATTTTATTGGAATTATATTATACTCTTTGGTGTAATATAGATGAAGACAACCATACTTTTCCAGCTTATTTGGTACAATATCATACCAACAAACTATAGCATCAATTGATGAAGATACCGAGTTTGATTTGTACAATCTAATGCAACAATTACCCATTGATGACCGACTTACTGCTGAGTTCGTTAACATTGATGATCACATGCCAATTACAGCAATTCCAACTCCTGAAGAAATTCTCACATCATTGCGAGAACCAGAAGAAGATGATGAAGAATTACCAATGAAACTATCACTTAGCGAAGCCAAGGTATCGTTGGAAAAATTTGGCACTTTTTTTGGCCAATCCACCCAATGGGTTCGTTCTTGAGCAGGGGGATGTAAGGGTAGTGGAATCGTTAAAAAAAAGAGTTATGGATCGAATTATTAATTCCCAAGCACAAACGTCACTTGATTCATTTTGGTCAGTGATCTTTCTTTATTTGGAAAATAATGGTAATGAAGAGTCAGTTCTGTATTTTCAGTAAGGTTCTTAATTTTCATAACTGAAGCTTTGTTCGTCTATTATATATACGTATTTGACGAATAAAAATTTATTACGAGCGATTTCAAAAAACAATATCATTGTAAGCCCAGGCTACATCACGTGGCTCGAAACTCATATTAGTATAAATGGCAAGTGGAGGCCAATATTGCGTTAATCTCGCTTGCGAAACCACACGCCATAAAAGCGTATCCACTCGGGTGATGAGTAACAATATCTTCGCACGCCTCTGTGCCATTATCGTTATGAATGTAAATTTCCCAACATAAAATAATACGACAGTTTCCACTTCCATCGTACGGAACTGCATCACGAAAATATCCTATCAATTCGAGAGTATATTTTATATCATTGTAATAATATGCGAAAAGTGCAGTTATCACTGCAAGAATTACAGTGATAGTCGTGGATGGCATTTTATTGTTATCGTTATCGCCGCCGAATTATAAATGTGTTGGCAAAACGGCGCACGTGCCATCGTTGAATTGTGATTCGCCATATAAAGGTATTTGATATACCGAATATTCGTTGTACCCAGAAAATTCGATATACTGGACACCTTGTTATACCGAACCAGCTCCCGAGTTTCGTTATATCGAGGTTCAACTGTAGAGTTCAAAGTTACATTAAATTGATAGGATTTCCGGAAATTGATATGCATGTACGTACATGTATAACGATAATTTTGGTGATGTTTGATCATCTTAACATGATGTATGAATTTTGTTTTAATGCATTACGTATTGGTGCATGTACGAATTTGATGGTCAAAATGCTTGTCCCGGCCGATCAATTTGCTGAATTTACGTCCAAGCGACAACACTGGGTACATGTATACACAAAATTAGAAAAGATGCAAGTAAATTCCAGATTTATAATACAAGACGATTTTAAATTCTAGTGTGACCGTTCTCGTGAATATTCTAGGTTTATTATTCGAGTTTATTTGGCAGATAAGTTTCTCTAGAGAAAATAACGTTATTAAATAAAATTTCTTTTCCTTGTTATCCAGTAAATTATAACTTTACACCTAAATCCTTAATGCTCAAGAAATACAGTCAGCTCTCTCGTTAAACCAACCATATTTTTCTTCGATTTAACGGGAGTTGAATATGTATTTTTAATTAAATATACTAATATAGGTTAATAGTAACATATTTTATCTACATATATATGTAATTAAAAATACATAGTAAACTCCCGTTAAATCGAAGAAAAAAGATGGTCGGTTTAACTGTATTCAATTCGTAAACTATTTGAAATTTTCTTTCAAGAGCACGCACTATTCCGAATATGGTTTATTGTTGGACTTCTTGACCTGTTGTAAAGCAACAAGGGATTGGTTTGTTCATTATAGTAAGTGGTTCTTCCCTTTATTTTACTCATTTATGTATACCAAATACTTCTGATTGGTAATTTACATACATTGAAATCTTTGAATGATTCATTGCATTTGCTAATCAAATTAATACATGTATTAGGTTTAAAAATATGGATTGAATGGCTGATTTAATTGATTTTAAAACGACTATCGCTATTATTATTGATATTGCTATAATAAAGGGACTATGAAAAAGGTCTAGTTATGTTATCCCATTGAAAGGAAAGGCTCTCACTTGTGCATATTTTTAAAGCAATGGAAACTACGTAACACAATCCATACAATGAAACATATGATTTATATCAGCGAATTAAATTAGGAAAGTACTATGCATTTTTTCATGAGTAACCCCCTGTTTATAGCAGTATCACAATCCGCGCCTTTAAAACGCCTAGCCCTTACATAACGATAAATACATGTATTTGTTTTACATGTATTAATAATTACGTAATACATGTACATGTATTTGATGACGATCTCTAAAAAACATTTTTCGGCAAAATTCAAAGAGAAAAAACGCTAGTAATGTTGATCCATTACAATTTTCTCTTTGGTTTTTCTTTTATCTTCATCTTTATTTTTTTGACAAATCACAAGATAAGAAAAATAAGAATATTCTATTACATTTTCACGTTTGTATTGCAAGATAATCAACTAGCTTACTTCACATGACTTAATTTTTCAGTCATAGTTTCATAGTTAACAAGTTTTGTGTACATATAATATTATTCAAAATTTTTCGAATATAAATAGCTATTACCTTTGTTTCGATATTCTTTCTTTCTTACTTTAATTATCGCTCTTATTTACTTAATTGAGCTACTTATTTAACACATAAATCATTCTTTTTTTTGTACTTTCACAATTTCTATTATTTGCTTTCTTTGATTTTCGTTGACAGATGAAAAGAATAATTATTATACAGAAATAAATTCAATTATAAATATATAACATACTGATATATATAAATAGCAAAAAAGGCGGTGGGTGTATGGATTCATTTTAATAATTATCATCCTATAAATGAATGATAGGTTAATCGAAAATATAATATAGATGATTGTTTCCCGAATTTTCGGATTCAAAAAAAAAACAAAAATTCATATAAGGATTCGAACCGTCTCTTAATTCATCACCCGGGTGTTTACATCATTTTATAATCGGGTCATGTTATTTCGGATCACCCAGGTAACGGATGAAACCAGGTCATCCGGATCAAGTTGTGGCACTGGATTAACCCAGGTAACGGATAAAATTAAAGTAAAATGAATATTAGTAATGATGATCATATAAACGATGAGCAAATATCATAAATAATAAATGGACACTCTGCAATATTTTGGATGGTAAGACCAAAAAATCTTTGGAGGTGTTTATCTACTGATTAAAGATTGTAGACTACCTCCAGCAGAAGAAGTGGTTGAATTTGCTCTAGTGATGTGCTCGCATATATGGTATATCGTAATGTTTTTGAATGTGCCGAATAAATGTTAGAAAGATAGCGATAGACAATCCGAATCGCTAATCTTGATGATCAACCAGACATCCGGGTTGCCAAATCCTGATCCGGTTTAATGTGGGAGACCCGAGTGATCATATCGGTACATAACGATAAGAATACAGTACAGATTTATTGTTACATGTACATGTATAATGATCACAATAACGTTAATATAAACTTGCATTGTTTAAATGAATTTTCTACATGTACATGTATATACCGATACGTACATGTAGAACAATTGGTTGCTATACGTAATTTAAACAAGGATCTTGCTTTTGTAAGAAGTGATATCGATATATAAATATATGTATGAATCAATCAATATTGAAATAAATAGAAACCTTCTAATATAATAAAAGGTTTAATATAACATACACGAATTCTTCTTTAGATAAATGAGATTAAAACGAAGCACAAATATAAATTATTTTATTGGAGCAAAAAATCAAATATTAAATAATCTTGTTATCCAATTTTGGCGTTACATGAACCTATTACATGTAAATTATTTTGGGGAAAGCAATACATATATATAAAGAGCTCAATTCTATACTAAATATAAATTATATTATTATGAAATTATACTATTATGAAATATTTAGTTTTGCTATAATTATGTGTATGCGTATAGCGAGAACAATGATAATCTTTAAAACGAAATGATTGATTGACGATTGTTTTAATGCATCTAATAAAACACTAAATGAACTAAAAGATGCATGGTCAAAGAAGTTGATTTTGCAGTTATTTCTTTGTTTGCTTCTTTTGTATTTGCTATTTATATGATATAGAAGATAATTAATGACCTCATAATTAACGATGGTGTTGATAAAATACAACGAATGTTTTTTAAATGTATTGCACAGCATAAAGGCCTAAAAACATTATCATAAACTATAATCGTATACGCATATTTAAAAGCCCGACCTCCGACCAGGGAACACCAAAAAAAATCAAAGATCTAAGACAAAGTTTATTTCTTTGGGCTCAAACTGTTTTTGTCTAACAACACGAATGGCGTTGTCTTTATGTAATAAAGAAAGAACACAAGTAAATTGTAGTTTCCTATTCTAATTTTATATTGTTCTGAAACCTTCTATTTCATCTTATTAGTATACTTTGTCACATATTGACTACGAAAACAAACAAGTTATTTTTAATCAGACGCGTTAATTTTTTTTTCAAAGACGCGTTTCCGATCCAACTCATTACAGAAATTCTTAGTTTAGAAATTCCGCAAAATGAAATTTTCTAAATCGGGAATAAATTATTAATTACGAAATAAAGACTGGTATCGATGAAGCTAAAGAAATTAAAGGATACCGATATAATTGTTCTAAAAGTATCTCCTAGAATGCTTCTAATGTCAAAAAGTTATTATTTTCTCGTTGTATACTTGTTTGTTTCGAGTATGTATGCAATTTTGTAATAGTAAAATTAATAATATATATGTGAGACGTAAAAGCTTGCTAATTATTTATTGATTGTTTGTGCTGTATACCGATACAGACTACGAACTCTTAATGATAATGTTTCTATGTAGTGAAAATCAAGGGATAATGAATCTAAATGTTTAAGTATAGGGGCTTTTTTCGCATTACCGGTTTCTATAGATAACGATAGGTTTTCTTTGAAAGGAGGTACAGCATTTAATAAATCATAGCAGATACTGTATAATTTACTACCTCGATATAGCGATAGAGTCAAAATGTGATTATTGCACTATGCTAAAGCGGTCTTGTAACTAAAATACATAGGGTATGCCAACTTTTGACTGTCCTAATATTATTTTATAGATAAGAGAATCAATAATGAACACAAGATATTTTTCATTGAACATACACATGACCCCACATTGTTTTGTTATTTATTCAAAAATTCCTCGTTTTAAATGTTGTGAATTATTCCAATTACCAATTCGATAGCATTCCATTGAGATGCCAGGTTTAATGTATAGAGTTTAATTGCCAAGTTGCAACATTTACTTAATCTAATTTGTTTGGAAATTCAATATTATATAATTGATTCATAATTGATTCATAGGATTAATTAATTAATTCACAAATTTTTAGGATTTGTGATTTTATTCATGTAACTGTAAAAACATATGCATTGTTTTTTTTAGCTTGAAATGTAACGCTAATTATAAAGATTAATAATAAGCTAAAATAGAACTATATTTTATTAAAATCTCGGCCGAAATTAATAAAATCACACATTTCTTATTGCCAATAACATGTTTTTATTATGAAATTGAGCATTATCTCTAAATTTATTTGCAAATAAAAAATATGCGATAGAATAAAGTGTCTATGAATTATTACTGTAATCTTAAATTTGTGTCTTGCTGCATCATCATTATCGTTATTATTGTAACTATTGCTACTACTGCTACTACAAAAACCATCATTACCACCACCACCATTATTGTTATATTAATGTTGTTAATGTGGTTATTATTAATATTATCAATATTCATTCCTACCAACATATTTATAACATCCGCAGCAGTTGTATTACTATTAGCAATTGTATTATTATCGTCATCATTATCGTTATATTCTTTAAAATTGATAGGCATAGACGTGACTTGTGGTTGATTATGGCGATGAACTATCCGAATTTCCTCTTCATGAGCTCTTAGTTCGTTTAATGCTTTCTCAATGATAGGTGTGATATTGTAAACTTGTATGTGTTGAAGATTTTGTTTAAGTGATTCTGCTTTTCTTTATATTCTTTCGATTCACCAGGATGTAAATTTTTGAGCACATTTATAAAATTAGCTACGTCAACCATTGACGCTCTTGTATCTATGCTTGGTGAGCTTCTGCCTCGTCGATTTTTGTCTTTATGACAGTTGTTGTTATTATCGATTGAATCAGAAGATGAACTTGGCGGAATATCTTCTGTTGCTTTAACTTTAGATAATTGTTGTTGATGTCGACGGGTTAGCGGCATATTAAAGAAGTCTATGTTTATCATAAATTCTAATTTGACCCTGTAAAAAGGGAGATTTTATTTGTTTATGCGACCTGTATAGATATTATATAATATGTCACGTGGTTGTGAAAACTGCAAAAATAATTCTTTTTTTACAATATCTTTTGCCCTCCTTATATACATGCGAGCAATTTTGATAAACTATAATCATATACGCATGTTCAGGACCCCGACCAGGGAACACTCAAAATGTATTATCATTTCAAAAAGTAAAAGAACTGTCTTTTTGTACAGAATAAATATTTTCATCTACGCATATTCAGGATCCTGACCACTGATTAGGGACACTCAAAATGTATTATCCTTTAAATTCCAAGCGTAAAAGAACAGTCTTTTTTGTACAGCATAAAGGCCTAAAACATTTTCATATACACCCTGACCTCCGACCAGGCTCAAAATGTACTATCATTTAAAGTTCAAAGAGTAAAAGCTAAAGTTTATTTTTCTCGGGTTCGACTTGTTTTTGTTAAATTAAATACATACATTTATACACGTGATGTATACCATCATACCCTATACTTGGCATACTGATTAACCATCTCATATTTCTTTGCTTATCCAACAATACGTTTATTGGTATGTCCCCATACTTTTCAACCCATGCAATACCAGTTTGCTTGAACTGACCATACGTATTAGTGTAATTCCAATAACAATAACTGTACATGTACCAAAATTTTCCGAGCACAAAGAACATTACAAATGCTGATCATTGATACTTTTTATAGATTGGTAAAGCTTCTATATCGGGTATTGTATGTTCATGCACCAAATACAATAAATCTGTCATTTTAGCGTTAGCGTTAGGATGTAATAGCTCGACGTCTAGTTATCCAATTTGAGCGAAAATACTATCATTCGATTTGTCTAATCTAGGCAAATCAAATAGCGGTATATATACATGTATATTAAGGATGTAATATCAATTTAGGATGTAATATCTCGATCCAATTCGAAATATACCATTCGATTTGTCTAGTCAAGACGAATCGAATGGTATTATTTTTGTTTGAACGGATCACTGTAGATCGAGATATCATGTCATAAATTGGCAATTAATGTCAAAAAAATGAATCTGCTATTTAAGACGCAATATTTCGATGTCCAGTGATCCGATTCGAACAAAAATACCACCATTCGATTAACCTCGACTAGACGAATCGAATGGTATATAGTATCTTTGTTCGAATCGGATCACTGGACATTAAGAATTAACTAATCTATAAAAGGTATCGGTATCAATAATCAGCATTTGTAATGTTCTTTGTTCCCGGAAAATTTTGGAACGTTCACATGGTGTACTGAAAGTTATGGCGGAGGTTAGCACTTTATACAATAAGCAATACATAACCATCTTATTATAAATTTGGGGTTTCACCCGCAGAAGTGGAGTGGTTGGTTATATTCAAATACCAAAGTGTTGAAGTTGTTTATATCTGGTTTCGGTAATTATTATATTCGGGAGTTGTTTATGTTGTTATATACGGTATATTGCAATATGAAAGCATGAATAATATTTTAACCGTTTTTTTACTAGTGTACATTCACATGTAACATTTTAAGATCGAAATGAAACCATGTCAAGGCTAAAGATTCGATTTAATTTTGTAAGAGAAAAAAAGAACAACATTGTAACAAACTTTAATTTCAATTAAATAAATAATAAATATTGTTAGTTTAGGTTTAAAAAATATAGCAATTTTCTAATACAGATGATTTTTTAGTCGATTTATTCGTTCCTAATATTTTATATTATTGTGAGAAAAGAAAAACTTGAAAGAGTATCACACAGCTTTACTTGATTTAATTGAATACGTAAGTTCATAAGTAAATAAATATAATAACGCTTATATCTAATTTAGTACTTGTGATTGGATGTAAAATCATAATTCATAAATAAATATAATAACGCTTATGTCTAATTTAGGTTGAGAGTTATTATTTAATGATGCAAAATCATAATAGTTTTTGAAATTAAGTAAAATTTAAATCATAAATTAAAAGGTTATAGAAATTTTTGAATGAAAATTGGTATTAATCTTTTCCATACTCTCACAAAATAAAAAGTATATTACAAATGTAAAAAAATTAAAATTAATAACTATTAACAAAACAGGTCACACACGGATGAATTTAAGTAGTCTAAAGATCTAAAAATAATCGAAATCAATAGGACCAACATCTTCCAGCGTAACAAGAAGGTCTGCATGCTCTATTCCTGTTATCACTTCTTTTACCAGATCATCAGGTATATACTCGAATGTTTCATCAATGGAGCGAATTACAAGTTGTTTTCCCACTGGTGGTATTGATTTGTTAGTGGCGAAAGCAATCAATGAGGCGAAGGTTGTGTTCTCACCAATAGCAATTTTTTGCTTATAAATTTTTAACTTGGATCTTATTGTTACGGACTTTAAGATTGTTTCTATATATAGTAAACAATTGTAAATGGATTATATACATGCACACATAATCCCAAGATCTACCAATAACCATGATTCACCTGAAGTCGATCCGATAAGACGTGGAGAAGACGCAGCACTAGCTGATGATTCTGGGGTTTGAGGTTGACATTTATTATTATTAAAGCAGTTAGCTTTGAAATAAAAATAAATTAATAATAAATATAATCTGCAAAGCATTTATTGGTCTGAAACATTTCGTTTGGATAAACAAGTAATTAATTACCTGCATGGTGTAATCTTCTCGTTTTTCGATATACCACCAACTGAATTTGCTTGTCGCGTTTGTTAATATCACCAGTAAATGTTTCCCAGAAGCGGGCGAATTCAGATTCATCGGTTATTCTGAAATGCTCGGAATTATTCAAAATACCAATTCGATAATGAAGATGAGAAATATCAACAGCGTCCCATTGAGATGGAAGGTTTAATGATGCAATATTCACATAGAGTTGACGTAAATTCTGAAATGAATCGGTGAAGTTTAAATTGCTAAGCGACACATTTACTTGCTGACTCATCATTACATACGGATGAGATGTGGTATCGAAACAGACTACTGGAATTGTTTTTGATTGTTCTGATTATTATTTTGTTAAATTAGAATTAGAATTAGAATTAGAATCATTATATAATTTTTATAGAATAAAAACTTGATTGAATTGATTGATTAATTAATTACCTACCATTATTTTGACTTGCTACATTATTAATACTGTTATCAACATCCATTCCTACCAACATATTTATAACATCCGCAGCAGGAGTTGTCGTATTAGTCGTAACAGTTGTATTAAATTCTATAGAATTTATTGGCGCAAACGTAATTTGTGGTTGATGAAGATGATGATGTTGATGAATTATTAAATTTTTCTGAATTTCCTCTTCATGAGCTCTTAATTCGTCTAATGCTTTCTTTATTATAGGACCAAAGACTTGGCCCTGCCAGCCAAAACCTAATGCGATATTGTAAGCTTGTATGTGTTGAAGATATTGTTCGAGTGAGCCTGCTTTTATTAATGCTTTCCTTTTTGAATCGATATATTCTTGAAGTGTTTCTTGTGT